ATCTACTGTATGAGTGTTCTACATAGACAGCATCCTAATGGTCAGAAAACGTCATCTACTGTATGAGGGTCCTACATGGACAGCATCCTAATGGTCAGAAAAACTCATACATGAGCATTCTACATAGACAGCATCCTGAAGGTCAGAAAACTAGATCCACTGTATGAGGGTTTTACATAAACAGAATCATAATGATCAGAAAAGCTCATACATGAGCATACTACACAGACAGCATCCTAATGGTCAGGAAACCTCATGTATGAGTGTTCTACATCGACAGCATCCTAATGCTCAGGAAACCTCAAGAATGAGCACGCTACATATAAACACCTTAACATTCGCAAACCTCATGTATGTGCATTCTACAAACATGAGGCAGAATGAGCACTCTACATAGGCAGAGCAGTCAAGGTACCTCATATAAAGGCACTATATAAGCAGCATCCTAATGGTCAAAAAACTTTACATGAAAGCCAAGCGGCAACCCCGGTCTCTCTTGTGAAGCGAATATAAAAGAAACTGAAAAAAGAAATTAGCTTGAGGCCGACTGAGGCTGGCTCCAAAACCTACCTTTATCTAAAACTACACCAGCATTCCCCAACTGTTCTCCTGTCTCAATGACATGCTGGATTGTTCCTCTATTTGGAATATTGTTATAGCTTTTTATTCTCTTTTCTTCATCTGTTAGGCTGCTTTTAACACAATCCACAATGTATTATCCCTATAGAAATTAAGATGAATTCATTTAAACTGAGTGGCATGCCTTTACTGCTCACGGTATACCACAGCTTATTCCAGCTACTGAAGTTGGCATATATCTTGTGTTTTTGCTTTTGTTTCGAAACCTCACACGTAAGCACTCTACACAGGCAGCATGCTTATCATTGACAAAAGCTCAAACGCTGCATAGACAGCATATCATCAGTCCTTAAACACATACATTTAATATACATAGGAGACAACTTAATGATAAGGAAACCTTTTATGTGAGCACTTGACATATGCAAAATTCTACAGTGTGAAAACTGCATGTATGTGTGTGTGTTCTACATGGGCAGTATCAATAAATCTCATATGCAAGCACTCTATATGCTACAGTATAAACAGCATATTATTGGTCATGAAACCTTACACGTTAAAGGGATACTTCACCCAAAAATGAAAATTAGCTCACTTCTCACCCTCATGTGGTTTCAAATACAAAAGTAATAAGATTGTGTAAACAAAAAAGAAGTTATTTTGAAAATGTGAGAAACCTGTAACCACTGACTTCCATAGCAGTCAACAGAAGAAAGTATTAAGTAATGTGTATTTATATATGGCCAATCACACAAAGCACTTTACAATCATGAGGGGTTCTCTCCGCACCACCACAAGTGTGCAGCATATTCTTGGATTATCACATAAAAAATGTATAGAATATAGCGAATATAGCAGGGTTTCCATCCAACGTGTCAAAGCGAACAAAATCATCACTTCCTGATTAACTGGTATCAACAATAAAAACTGAATTTGCTGCTGTTGGAGAAGCTGCGTCAATCATTTCTTCATCTAATAAATGATTTGATGACGCATGGTGGCATTTGAAGGTGTTAGATGCGGAGCACAGACGCTCTTGATTCTGGAGGTCATTAATAATAATACTTAAACGGTTAAGGCGTTTTAGAATGACTAAAACAACAGTTCAGATGGTTTACAGCGTGTTCAGCCTGCTGCTTTGTCTATGTACACACATTTTCATCATCACATGATCTCTTATAACAGATTCACATGACCTTTTTTAATGCGCATACTAAAATGTGTGCGGTAAGTGTTTCCATCATTGCTCATGCACATTTTATCGAATAAAAATTTTTCCAACTCAGTTTTGCGCATCATGGCATTTCCATCAACCATTTTTTATGCACATATGCAATATGTGCATAAAAATAGGTGGATGGAAACATAGCTAATGACCGCAGGTTGAGCACCCCCTGCTGACCTCACAACCAACAGCAACCTGGTTTTCCAATGTGGTCTCCTATCCAGGTACTGACCAGACTCTGCCCTGCTAAGCTTCAGTGAGTAGTCTTGTGCTACAGGGTGATATGATTTGTTACAAGTAAATGAGTAAATAATTGACAAACTTTTAATTTTTGGTTGAACTAACCCCTTAAATCACAATAAACAGACAGCACAGACAAGAAACCCCTTTTATAAGCACTCTATAAATTTCATTAACAAAATTCATAAAATAAAACCGAATCGTTTAAATAAATTGATCATTTCAAGAGAAATCCTCACAGTGCATTCTGGGAGTGAATTCCATGTGAAAGATATATGCAATTGTGTTTTTTAAAAAAGCTTTAAAGTTAGATTAAAGTTGATTAAAGGAGGCAGCACAATTACTGGGCTTAACCACAAAACAGTAATTGCACCTTTGCACCTTTGATGCTTTAAAATGCTCCCTCCATAGGCAGCTCACTAGGCTTTCAAATGGAGAATGAGACTCGCTTATAGTGGCCTTTTTTCTGGTTATTTATTCCAACAATGAAGAGAGAGAGAGAGAGAGAGAGAGAGAGAGAGAGAGAGAGAGAGAGAGAGAGAGAGAGAGAGAGAGAGAGAGAGGGGAGAAAAGCAAATGAAGGAATTCGCATCAAAAGTGCTGCCTGGTGCATCCAACAAGGAGCCATAATAGACCTAGCAAACACAGCATGATCCACTCATATAAAACTCTTTATTAGGCATGCGTTTGGGGTTTCTATAAGGCTTTCTCTCCTCTGGGACCTGACTTCCACACACAGATTTGACTGATACTGTAAAAGCGTGAACCAATGATGAGCTGGGAGAGCTGGGACTGCTGATCTGCGAAGATGAGCATGTTTGTCAAACCCATTAAAGAGATGCAAAGCGCAATCATAAAGGTTCAAAACCAATTGTTGCTAGGCGTGCATCACCCTGTTAGCCAGATTTATCGAAGAGCTGAGATGCAAACAACCCACACAGGATTTTTGATAAATGCTTCGCGCTTCAGCTCCTGTAAGGCAGACTTTTATTTTGCATATAAGAGACGCCGTGATTCAGTGGCGAAGTTACTGCACAGAGATATTTTACAAGGTTCATCTGACGCAATCTGTTGATGAAAAGATGTAGAGATCATTGAAATTCCCACCACATCACAGAAAAACTGTGAAATTATAGACACAGGCTGTTCAAACATATGACCGCATCCCACTGAGGGATGTCATGTCATTCATCACACACATGCTAATAGTCTGGAGAGAAGATGGAGAACTACTGCAATGGAATATTTCAAGTGCTTTTTGTAGGTTTTTTGGGACCTGTTTATAGGCTCCAGGGGTTTCAAATGTCTACAGATGTAACACATCAATGCACAGATAAAGGTTGGAATTTTTTGTTGTTGTTGTTGGATAAAATAAAATGATTAGTCTTTTTTCATTTTTTCAAGTTAATGTCTTGCTTTGATAAGGTGGTTTTATCTGATACTGAGTTTTTGTTTTGTTTTTAATATTTAAACACTTTATTCACTCCAAAATGAAAATTCTGACATCTTTTACTTACTCTGGTGTTGCTCTTATGATTATTAGACCTTCTTTGAATTTTAGTTTTTATTTTGAATATTTCCCAAATTATGTTTAACATAGCAAAAAAATGTTTACAGTATTTCCTATAATTTTTTCTTCTAGAGAAAGTCTAATTTCTTTTATTTTGACTAGAATAATAAGACTAACTTACCTAGTTAACCTAATTAACCTAGTTAAGGTCATTTAAGCTGTATAGAAGTGTCTTGAAAAATATCTAGTAAAATATTATGTATTGTCATCAAGGCAAAGATAAAACAAATCTGTTATTAGAAATGAGTTCTAAAAAAATGTTTAGAAACTTGTTTTAAAAAATCATCTTTCCATTTAACAAAAATTGGGGGAAACAATATACAGAAAGATAGTAATTCAGGAGGGCTGATAATTCTGACTTTAACTGTATATCCTTTCATTATTTCATTTATTTCCATTACAAACAGATCTTTTTTTTATGTTATTCTTGCAATCTTCCACAAAAGTATCTTAGAATGAAACTATGCAGCATGTGCCATATATTCCAATTGTTCAGAAATTATCCAATGGCATTTGTCTTCATGAGTGATCTTGCAATCATGAGGTAATTCCCTCCCAAAGCCGCCCCAGAAAAAGCACACAATTGCACCATTTTGATAAAATGTGACATGAAATACAATGCCTAGCAAAAATAAGTATCCGTGTTGTTTCTTCACTAAGTTGAATCTCTCCAGACTGGAGCTCTTGTTGTTAGATGACAGTTTTAATGAAAGTTGACAGATGCATGTGATAACTTTTTCTTCACAACAGACGCAACAGATGTATATTTAACTCAGAGAGAATATTACATGGAATGTATATTGCTTTGTTATTTTGAGAGTAAACTGCAGCATAGAGTTGAAGATTTTGAACAATAAAACATAATACAATGTCTAATGTGAAACATCACAATGGACAGGGGGAATTGTCGATAAACATGTTTTAAATTGTAAACAAACGAGCATTTTTTTCAATGCAATAACATCACAATAATGTTGTTGTTCCACATATTTCATGTTGATTATAAATATTTATAGAGACATATTTAGAGACAAAACAAAAAGAAATAAGTTAATAAGAATTTAGCAATGAAAGATTATTTTAAATAAAAATAATAACCTGTAATTCTCCACATGGTCAAACAGAAAAAGCATTTATTTGACTTTCTGTGATAGTTGATAGTTTCTTATCACTATTTACTACCATTATATGGAAGAGCATCTTTTAGCAGTGAAGGTCATCAGTTCACCGAACTATTCGCTGTTTACTGAATCTAACTACAAATACAGCGAAACTGGAGCATTTAAAGCCGCAAAGATCAGCTGGTCTGTTCATAAGCTGACATACAAACGATCTGCTGATAAATCGTCTGATCTTTGCGACTTTAAAACTCTCCAAATGTCCCTATATCTGTGGTTACACTCAGTCAACAGCGGTGGATTCGGCGAACTGATGACCTTTATGGCCAATCACAGTCAAGTTTTTAAAAAAATATATGTCATCAGAGCAACACCACAGAGGAGAGTATGAGATTGGATGAACTACTGGTTCAAAATTACAACCAATTGTAACTACCAAGAACTGCCAAGAGGTTGCTACATGTTTGCCAAACATGCAAAGGTAAGAGAACACTGTCTTACCATCACCGCCTTGGCTGCCTTCCCTTTTCAGCATTTGGACAGCCCCAACATACTTCTTTAGCTGAACCTTCAGAACTTCATTCTCTCTGCAAAAATGTCAAATAAATAATAAATAAAACAAAACATGCACAAAAATTAACTTTTTTAAAAATTGTAAAAACTGTGCTGCATAATGTTTTTCATGCTAAATAAGGGTGAAGCTATTAAAATATTCCTAAATAGGATTTTAAATGAAGTTAAGACTGATCATGTTCTATAAGTGCAAACAGTAGGAAATGATCAACTTTAATATGATAAACATTTAGTAGTCTTTAGTAGGCTTTCCAATAATATATTTGATCATATACATCAGATTATGCAGTACCAAAGCTAAAACTGCAAATAATCCAACGAAAACCTTAACATCACAGTCCAGAAATAAGTACACCCAAATTAATATGTTGGGGGAAAATATGACATTTTATTTAAGAAAAATGTAAAATCCAGTGGAAATATTTTTATTTGAATTTAAATCCATTATCTTTCTTTTCCTAAACATGTTAGGTAACCAAACCCTTATTTTAATTGATATAACGGTTTTAAAAAGCTGTTTTGTTTAAATGCACCTAAATATATTATATTTACTTTATATAATATAACTGCATGTTAACGCAAATATCTAATCCGTCAATCACATGGTAGCAACTCAATGCATTTAGGCATGTAGACTTTGTCAAGACAATCTGCTGCAGTTCAAACAGAGCACCAGAATGTAGAAGAAAGGTGATTTAAGTGACTTTGAACATGAGATGGTTGTTGGTGCCAGACAGGCTGGTCTACTGGGATTTTCACACACAACCATCTCTAGGGTTTACAGAAAATAGAAAATATCCAGTGAGCGGCAGTTCTGTGGGCGCAAATTCCTTGTTGATGCCAGAGGTCAGAGGAGAATGGCAAAACTGGTTGGAGCTTATAGAAAGGCAACTCAAATAACCACTCATTACAACAGAGGTATGCAAAAAAGCATCTAAATGCACAACATGTTGAACCTTGAGGGGCTACAGCAGCAGAAGACCACACTGGGTGTCACTCCTGTCTGCTAAGAACAGGAAACTAAGGCTACAATTCGCACAGGCTTACCAAAATTAGACAACAGGAGAAAAAACGTTGCCTGCAACTGCATGTTATCATGTAAATATTAATCAAAATCACTAAGAAAAAGGCAGCTCTCAAGGCAAAAAGGGGTCCTACCCGGTACTAGAAAGGTGTGCCTAATAAAGTGGCCGGTGAGTGTATATTAGTCATAGACATGCTAAAAAAGGACAGTTTCATACACTCAAAAGTTTTTTTTTTCAATGCCGTTGTGTCCTCGGTTACTGATCCAATGTCATTTCAAACCTGTATAAGTTTAAAAATGCTGGTAAATTCAGGTTTCCACCATATAAATAAAAACTTTTCAAGACATACAAACTAAAACTGTCAATCAACACTCTCCCAAATATCCTCTTTGTTTTCAGCAGAAGAAAGAAACATACGGGTTAGGTTTTCAGTGTTCTTCAAAATATCTTCTTTTATATTCAACAGAAGAAAAAACTCAAGTGTTTGAAACAAGAGTGAGTAAATGACTCCTGAAGGGTAAACTATCCCTTAACACCAAAAAGACAGTTTGCTGTTAGTTAATCTGTCCCCAAGTGTGATAAATTGCTATTCAATTGATGAGCAGAAAACATTAATTTACTGTTTTCATTATTTGTAATATCAGCTTGCATTTTGCAGAACATAAAACAGAAACAAATCTTGATTACAGATAGAACTGAATGCACACAATTTTAGCACATCATGATATATCATCCACCATTATCCTGACATTCAGGATGTATGAGCAGTAAACACAAGGAGCCAACTGAGAGACTCCCACATCAAGCCCCCCACCGAATTCAATTCCACCAACAGCTTTACACAAAGTTTAATAAGGCTGTTCCATGGAACAATATGTGTGTGTGCATGCATGTGTGTGTCCCTGTGCATGTTGCTCACAAAGCTTGTTACCGGTGGTTCGGGAAAATCAATCAGAATCAATCCAGGTTGTGTTACTGTGAAAAACATCCCTTCCTATTCCTCCAGGACGTCTTTTGTAACTTGCTTATCACTGCCCATTTTATTCCCCTTCAGTGGGCGGAGAGAATGAAGGAGATCCAAAGGCGTCTGGCAGGCTCTCAAAGGAGGGGACTCGGTCGTTTTTCGCACCGGCGAGCTGCGCATGATTCCGCAGCGATTTAATTAAAGTTAATAAACGACAGCTTCTCTGTGGGGAGGACTCAGCAAGTCAGGTGTGCCACATTGATCTTTTCCATTGCTCCTGCAGAGAGGACCACAGTACGAACACATGCCAGTGTATTCATATTAGAAGACTAACATCCAGTGTCCCTCTGAAGTGCTTATGGGTCGCATATAGTGGTCTAGCTAATGAGGGCCTCCTTGGAATGACACATAATGTCATTCTCTCCGAAGTAAAGTCTAAAAAGACAAGAATAAATGTGCATGTATGAATCATTTATTTATATCAGACTATTTTTTCATCACTGTTCCAGGTCAGTGTGTTCTCACAAGCAGTTTAACAAAGGTTTGAATTAGAAGTCTGAAATATGAGTTTCTCTATGCATTCAAAAGTGCTTCATATGTGCACTCTTATGCAGTTCCAGAAGAAAAAAAATTATCTTTTGTTCAACTCTTGTTCAATTGAAAGCCTAAATGTAAAAGCTAAAGAAGCTGGGTCTTAAAATAGGACTAAGATTGGTTCCAAAACCACAGAAAACCATTATGGTTATTATTTATATCATTCTGTAAAGTTCAATAATTTATTCTATATTTTTTTAATTGCAGCATATGTATTTTTTTTATAAACGCAGAAGAAATTTCCATAGAACTGTAACCACCAGTGAATTTTGATATTTTGCATACATATTTATACATACACATTCATATAACTTAAGTTATTACGTTAAATCACTGTTTATATATTGTATGATGCATTTAAGAATTATGTTGATCATTCAATTGTATAACCTATTCTACAAATTATCCATTAAATTCTATAATTTATAGAATTATAAGTTAATTTTAAACAACAGATAATAAAAAATCTTTCTGAAAAATCTTAATTATACATGATGTTTTTTAATTAAACCAGAGTTGCCGTCATTAAAACTGTCTGTTTAATTGAATAGTTCAATAGTTATTTTAATTATTACAATAATTAAAAGTGGCAGTAAATGTGAAATTAATTGCTCACTGAACAAATTTTCCGTTGGGTCTACACTATGATGAATACATTAGCAATACCTGAATAATAAAAGTGTTCCTTATGAGATTATTCTATTAAAAATACATTTACTGGTCTGGATCTCCTGGGATTTGAGACGGAACTAGAGAGAGCTACAGATTAAGATTGGACATATCATGAATAGGGCTTGTTTTAAGAAATATGAAGAAAGAAACTATTAAGAGAGAAGAAAACAAAGTTAAAGGAAAAGTTCATTCAGAAATTAAATTAGTAATTATTTGCTCATCTTTAACTTGTTCAAAACCTATTTAAGTTTCTTTCTTCTGTTGAACAAAAAACGTGTTATTTTAAAGAATGCTGGTTGATGGTACCAACTAATTCCATAATAGGAAAAAAATTTCTATGGAAATGAACTGCTGTATCTTAATTCACATACTAACCGTCCTAAATAATATTCAAAAATATATTTAATAGTACACTGAAATTATGATTGACTTTAAAGCATTTTAATGTGACCCGGATTGCCTACTAATTAAGGTAAAAATTCTAAGTGCAGATCTGTGCATACTCAAAATGGCTAAAATTGGCCACAATACATTACGTGTTGGACATGAATTCATTTAGAACTACAAACATGGTAAACAGGCACTGCTCTGTAAAAAAATATATGAACAGTTAGTCCGGACAGGATATGCTTTTAGTTCATGGTAACTTATTAAACTAAATTTATCATGTTCTAACTTAATTTTAGTTATGCAAGCAGGTATAAGTCAGTTTAACATAATATAAGTCCAATAGACATAGCAGGTTAATTAGAATTAGCCTAAAAATTTAAGACAATCAGGATTTTTTTTTTACAATGTAAATTATAAATACTCGCTTGGTCATTAACGAATAATTATGCAAACACCCGAGGAGTTTTCTCTGCATGAAAGTCCTGCAAATAGCAGATTAACCTGCTGCTGCATCTCCAATAATGGTAGGAAATTAAATATGAAAATAAAAAATGTGGACTATGTAACAAGATGATTGACAGGGTAAAAATTAAGCAATAGTCCATTAATAAGGTAGTGTGTCCAAAAACTCACATACTCTTCTGTTACACACAGAAATGTACATACTTTTAGGACATAGTATAAGCAGATAAACTGAGGGTGATTTCACACCTGAATCGATTTTTTTGTTTCGAAACAGGGGTTAAAATTGTTACGTTGTTGCTCTTTGTTCTTGGTGCGGTTCGCTTTCACATGGCAAAGTTTCTAAATGGACCAAAATAGCTAAAACAAGTCATGTGTGAGTAAACTCTCCTTGCATTGGTAACAGTTTCACTGTTTATTTTGCAGAGTCCCGCTCAGCTGTAAGGGGGGGTGGTGGTTTGGTGATGTTTGACAGGGTGCGCGCGATGTGTCTGAAGAGCGAGGAGGGATGCGGTGTGGAGGGATGAGCAACGTATTTGAGGACCGAGAGGGAGTGAAATAAATGAAATATAATGTGATCATACACTGACAGCAGTCCAGATGTCCTTCCTAAAACCCATTTCAATCTCCCCAAGGCTACATAAAATGCTGAACACAGAACTGGCATTACACAACAGCTGCTATTATCTTAAGTGTTGCAGTATTTGATGATCGCAGCCAAAACGTTAGTGAAACAAATATCACCACTAATCAGAATCAGATCTCCAATTAACATGTAGGGCTGTATTTTAACGGTCTAGGCGCAACATCTAAAGTGTGCAAAAGCATTAAGGGCATGTCGTAATCCATTTTTGCTATTTTAAGGATGTAAAAATACGCTCTGCGCTGTGGCGCATGGTCTAACAGG